GGGGGGGGGGGAGGAACTGACTTCACCCAAAAGAGACACGGAAACAGAGCACCGTGGCCGTTCGAAGGCGAGGAAGTTGACGAGGCCTCATCTGGACCGGCAGCCCAGGTCAAGGGTCGGAAAGGTCGCTGTGGTCACTTGCCTAAGGCAGGGGCCCCACGGGGGTGGGTGGGAGGTAAGGCAGGGGTGGAGACCAGGGCCTGAAACCCCGTCCATAACTGAAGTTTTCATTGGTGGAGACCACGAGGTCACCGCTCCCACAGTCACTCGGGACTCAGGATTCATGCTCTGTTGATATGGGGGTCTCTCCTTCCCCGGGTGGGGGAGGGCCCCTCCAGGACTCCCTTGCCCCGTGTCCCCAGGCGGGCAGGCGCCCCCTCCCTGCAGGGCTGGACTGGGCTGGGCTGCACCGTCCCCTCCGCCCCCACCAGGGGCTGTCACCCACGTCTGGTGCCGCTGGGGCCCCTTTCCCGGTTGTGGTCCTCGCTGGCCACCCACCCTTTGGCTCCGGCTGCCAGGCCCGGGGGTCCAGCCCCCGCTGGTGCCTCTCCCGGGGCAGCTGGGTGCATCATCGCTGGCCGCTGGGGGAGGGGCTGCAACTTGGCAGTGGGACTGGTCTGCATCCGAGCGGCCTGTCCCCAGGGTTCTCGAGTGCCCCAGGGGTCCCCACGGAGCACAGCCCCCAGATCACAGCATCTGTGGAGGCATCTCGCTGAACCTTCTGCTTTTCTCTGTTCCTCGTGGGTGGCAGGAAGCACACTCACCACCAGCTCAGAGGCCAGAAGGTGGCTGTGGCTCTAGTGGCCTGTGCCCCCGCCCCTGTCTGCCAGAGGTCATCTGTCTGCCCAGGGGCGCCGCGTGGGTCTCCATGCCAGGAGGCGCCCCACTGTGGGAGTCCCCCGCTGTGCCCGCCCGCTGTGTTGTCCGCTTGAGGATGTCTGTCCCATGGGCACGTGCACCCTGGGTGCATCCCAGGAGGGGGCTGCTCTGCATACCGGCGGCACCCAAGGATGGAGGCGGGACCCACCGACCCGTCACCGTTTGGGGAAAGACGTGGCCCACGCTCGTGGGGCCACCGTCGTCACAAGTCTAGTGGCTGTCTTTGCAGGGGCCGTGTCTGGGCCTCCTGCCCTGGTCTGCCGCTCGCTTTGGCTGGCCTGGCTCACCGAGCTAATTACCGTGGCCACTCTGTGTCCTGATGGTCAAGCAGGTCACCTGGCTTTTCACGTTCTCGGCCCTTTGCTTCTCCACACACTACAGCATCCGGTGTCGAACCACCGAAGAGGGCCGGCTGAGATTTCACCTGGGACCAAACCACTGCTCCGAGCTGGCAAACCTGGGCACGCGCCACACCCCTCCGTTTGGATCTTTCTGGGCGACTTCCGATAAAGTTCATAGTTTCTGTGTTGAGATCCTATACCGAGGCTGGGAGGCCCCAGGGAGGTCCGGGGGGCAAACCTGGCCGAGGCCTGAATCCGGAGCCCGGAGCTCTGACGTCAGAGAAGAAGGATGTCCCCGCCCAAGGAGAGAGACAGAATTGGACTCGGCAGAGACAACTTCCACCCTGGCCTGACGGGTCCGCTGGTCGCCGCACACACTGGGAGGTGCTGAGTCAGACACCAGCGCCTCCAGAGACGCCTGCATGGACCCACCTGGAAGTAATGCTTCGCCAGCTCCCTCGCGCCCTCAGCCCCATCAAGTGGCACAAAGTTAACCATCATACCATCTGGAAAAAATCAATTTCTAACCAGTGGCTGTGCTGTGGAAATAAAATTGCTCTTTGACATCGACTTGTATCTAGAGGCTTTGCTAATCTTACTCTCAGGCATCTGAAGACGCTTCTGGGTTTTACTCGGTGCCACCTGTGGGGAATCCTAGCGGGTGTGCTGTTCGGACAGTACCTTTGCTTCTGTTCTTTGCCCTGCTGCTCCGAAGCACTGGTCACACACATTCCCTGTCTCGGATGTGGGCTGGGCTGTTTTCCTGTTCGTTTGCAGACACTCTAACTAGATCAGGGGACTCTCCAGTTCCTGGCTTGCTGGCCATCGGCTCTGCATTGTGCGGGGACATCGCCTCAAGAGGCCTCCCTGCCTGGACCCCCCTCTCCCCCGTTCTGGGGGCTGTCCGGTCCTCTGGGCTCAGACCCCTCCCGGACGCACGCAGCAGGGTGCTTGGTGGGGAAGGGCGGGTGAGGCCCCCAGTGCCCACCTGCGTTCCGGACCATCAGAAAGTGCCCGGACCTTCCGCTTTCGCTGGACGTCTGGGCCCACCGTCCCGCTGGCCTCCTCCTGACACTTCCCATGGCAGGTCACGCCCACGCCACAGGGGGCTTGCAGGCTGCCCTCCAGTGTTCACTGGGCTTCTCTGGTGTGTTGGTGACGTGCCCGACACCGAGGATGAGGCGTGGGCCCTCCGGGAGCCCGTGGAGCAGAAGCATATGAGGTCCCGGGCAGCAGGTGTGGGTGAGGCGAGCAGGCTGGCACAGACACACAGGTCTCCCCGAGTAGAGACAAATGTGTAAGTTTTAGGCAGAAAAGAGGAAACAAAGCAGGGAAATGGTCCCCTGGTGGGGTGGGGTGGGGGCTCCCCCAGGGGCAGGGGTGGCTTGGGGGTCTCCCGGGGGCGGGGGATGGGACGTGGGCCCCAGGGAAGACGCCAGATCCTCCGAAATCCCGCAGACTTTACAACAGCCACGACCCAGGAGGACGTCCTGAAGAGCAGACAGGGGCAGATGTCATCCCGACCCCTCCAAACAGATCCCTGTGTACAGAGAGCCACCGTCTCCACTTGAACCCTGGTCCTCACAGCCCCAGACGTGGTACCAAGTGTCCCGTTATCACGAGCCAAGCTGGGGACGTAGGTTTTCGGGTTGCTTACGTGTTTGAACTTTAGAGCAGAAACACGGGGAGGAAACCCCGCAAAGACAGAGTCGCGTGTGCCTGCACGTGCGTCAGTCTTCCCTCTACCCGTGCACGCGGCGGACGCGTCCTGGGCCCGCCGGCTCCACACACCTGTAGCCTCGCGCTGCCTGGGGCGGCGGTCTGCCCGTATCTACCGGAAGATCTTGATTGCAAACAGGGCCCGACACGTTGCAAATGCACACGCTTTCATTGTGCCTGAGGGGGGACCTCACGCGTCGACCACTGACGCTTCATCCTCAACAGCGGTGCCACGAAGGCCAGTGAAAGCCACCCACACAGACACGCAAGCTGCCGGGAGTCGGCGTGCCTCTCCAGAACAAAGGAGCAGTAACTTCCTGCCTCGGTGGGAGCGCTGGGGCGGGGTGAGACTTCCTGCTGGCCCACAGCCCTTCTGACGCCCAGAGGGAATGGGGATCATGCCTTCCCAGAGGGGGACTTGGCGGAGGCCGGGTCTGCCGCTACGCCGCTTCGGGTCTGCGTCCACCAAGCACGAGGGGCCGGCCTGCCGTCCACGTCTGTGTCTGCGGAGATGCCGGAGGCCCCTCCTGCAGCCCCTCGGCCCTGCCTGGCCTCCCCGCCCCGTCACCGCGTTTCCTGACGACGCCCCGTCCTGTGCGGCCACCCCCCTGCCGCTGCCCCCTTTGGACTTCCTCGTGAACAGATTACAGGAAGGGCCACGTAACAGGGAGCCCACACCGGACGTGTGGCGTCCGAGTGGAGCCCCTCCAGCACCACAGGGGCCTCGTCTGGAATCACAAACAAGAGCAGATACCGGCTATGTTTCTCCACCCGCGGAGGGTGTCTACGGGGCACGCGGAGTAGCTTCAAAGCTGAGATGCCAGTGGCATCCCACGTGTTCGTGCGGACACGGCCTCTGTGGGCAGCACGGCGCGGGGAGGCGGGGGGCCAAGGAGGCCCTCCCCACCAGGTCCATCGGCGCCACCTCCGCGGAGCCCACGCCGGGGCCGGTGCGCGGTTGGCACTAGGATGGGTGGTGGTGGTGGTGGTGGTGGTGCTCGTGGTGGTGGTGGTGCTCGTGGCGCTGGACCGCGGGCACCGCACAGCCCTCCCCCACCAGCGGGGGCGGTGGGCCCCGCACCCCCTCGTGCTCCAGCACCGCCTTGGGGGTCGAGTGGCCCTCCCTGCCCCTCTGCCGGTAGCGCTTGTGGCCGTAGGGCTGCGGCGGGGTCTGGGGGGGCTGGCCGTCCTGGGGGGCGGGGGCGGGGGCCGCCAGCAGGTGGGAGCCGAAGGCTCTCCCGGGCTTGCCTCCGCCGGGCGCCCCAGGTGGCCTCCCTGAGCCCTTGGGGGACCTCAGAGGCTGCTTGTCCTGCCCCTTCAGGAGGGGCTGCGCGTCCAGGGCCCTGGCGGGGTCTGCAGCCGGCGGGGGCTGGTCGGCCAGCGGCTGAGACCTGCGGTGGTGCGCATCGTGTGCGTCCGCCTCCTGCGAGTGGGACCTGCTCTGGGGGTGCACGGCCTTGCCCTGATGCTCCTGCTTGGCTGGTGCCGGCGGGGACCCTGCAGACACAGGCACCCCTGAGACCCACCCCTGACACCCTGCGCAGGCCTGGGACGCGGACACCCTGCGAGACCTCTGCGGGGCCCGGGACATTTCACGCCGGAGCAGGCACACCCCACACACCCGACTGGGACGCCCACGTTTGGATGCGGGACTGTCGTGAGCTTTGTCGCAGGGACCCGGGGACCCTTGCGGGGAGGGGGCTCCTGTTCCCGGGGCGTCCACACACGGGACTTCAGACCCCGAGCGCTGGTCTCCGGTACCTACCAGGCCCGAACTTAGACGTGTAGTTCTCGATTCCGGCCAGGTCCAGGTAGTGGTTCCTCCGCTCCGTGTTCTCGTCCACGCGGCACGGGCCCCGTGCACAGCAGGGGTGGGGGTCGGCGCCCGGCCTCCTGCGTGCACCGTGGGGATGAGGGCCTGAGTGCTCGCTGTCTCACGGGCCACAGCAGGCCCTGGGGGGACTGGGGGACGCCTGGGCCAGGTGGTCTCCAGATCCCGGGCAGGGGGCCTCTGTCCGGCAGCCACTGCCCCAGAGGGGAACGGGAGAAAGGCCCTCGAGGACGGCCAGGTCCCCAGCCAGCCCCGGGGACCCCAACAAGACCCCAGCAGCACCACTGGGAACCCCATTCGGA